AAAAAAAAAAAGAGTGGTCAGGAAGGAACATGGGAGGCATGTTTTTCTTTTTGACCTTATAGTAGTAGTTACACTATTCACTTTATAATTATTTGTTAAATAATTCATGTTTTATGCATATGTATGTATGTATACATATTTATTTACATATATACATATATATTTCAGCAAAAAAGAATAGTATGGTTTTTTTTAAATGCATCTTTTATAGAAACTTCCCTAAGTAAAACTAAGTAAAGATCTCATTTAAGTTTATTCATTCTAATTGTCCTTTTAAACACTGTAAGGAACAGAGATGGGATGAAAGCAAAAATGAATGAAATGCCTGAGTGACTCTCATTCACATCTTTCAAGAAAAGTTTCATACTTTCAGGGGAAAGTATTATAAATACAGTTAGTTTGGTACTGCCAATCTCTTTCTCTAAAATTAAAGATTCTTTTATATATAATAGAAGTCACAAATTTATCTCCCTTTCACTTCGCTTATATTTTCCAGAATTTTTTTTAACATCCAAAGAAATGGCACTTTACCTTGTCCTTTGATTTTGGATCTATAATACTTTCCATTCCTTCCCAAATATATCACTATGCCTTTATTTGTACCAAATCACCCTCTCTGGTGACAACCAAGGGCTCTAATGCCTCCTCCTCACTGTGCAGTCAGAAGCTATGCTTTTGAACAGTTAATATTATGCTTCTGTTCAATCTGCTGAGAGCACAGTCTTGGAATACTGATTCAATTGCTTAAGGCCATTTCATAAGTTCTCCAAACAGACTGCCATTACTTCTCTCTCCAGAAGCTGGCAGTTAATGACCTTCTACTTCTAGCTAGTGAGGGAGCAGTTATTTGCTGGTGGGATGTCTTTGGGTCAGCGTGATTTCTCCAATTACAAGTTTATCACTGCCTATGGCTATACAAACAGCATCTATGTTGCTATTCCTTAGACTAGAAATGGAAACTCTAAGCAGACAGCACCTTATTAATTTGGCCTAGGTCTTCTTCATTCACACATCCTCCTTTTGGAGCTGTCAGTCTTCCATAAAAAAAAAAAAACACAACAGTGAATACGTTTGTTCCTTTCCTGGTTTGAATAGCACAGGAGAATAATTCTTTAGTTGCTAGTTCTTCTTTCATAGTCTTTCTTAGGTAAAGAAAATTTTTATTTCAGCTAGGAACAACCAGACACTAGTCTATTACAGCTACAACAACTCTCAAAAGAGCTGTACAAAAGAAAAATGTGGCTTCTATATCCAAAAGTCATTAGAGGGTTTTTGTTTGTTTGTTTCCTTATTAAGGCACCCAGAACACAAAATATTACACCAAGCTTTTCAAAAGGACAATTTTCTTCATGGAGTAGAATAGCAATTGGCTGTTACTCATTAAATTCTTACAGCAATGAGCAATGACTTTCTGTCTCATTTTGTTTCTCTTTGAATAGTAAATGAAGTTGATTTTTTTTTTTTCCAAGTCTGTCTCCCATCACCAGCATTCCTGATCCTTGGCCTGTGTAGCCCATTAATATGCTGCACACATATACCTGGGCTCCTTAACAACCAATGCAGTTAACCTTTTTGTTTACTCTAAGTCATTTTCTATCTTCTTAGTGAAATTGATTTTTTTTCTTCCTAAATGTAATAATTTCACCTGGTAAAAAAAACGCTCTCTATATAAAATCCACTGGTTTTCTAAATCCTTTTATTTCGAAGTTTTCAGGGGTCATGGGTTCTCATGTTCTAATTGAGAAAGACATGTCCATTCACGGTAATTCCAAAAGGTGGACTGACTACAGCTACTTCACAAATATAGTTATTATCTCTTGTGTGTTGGGGTGGCGGGTAACTGTTGGATCCCACGATTTACCTTTCTTCTCAAAGAGAAGTTAATTCCCTTGACCGAACAAAGGTGAAAGATTATACTTTATGGAACTAATGATTAAGGAGTAAAATACTGGAAACTAAAGGACACTTTGTCATAACTATCTATGTTCAAAGGCACTTCTCTACCATAACTCGCCATGATTTTGTATTGTAATTGCCTGTTAACAGTCTGTACCTCTCAAAGACAGGAAGCTCTGGAAGTTAGGGATTGTATTATAATGACTTTTATGTTCAGGGCACATGGTCTGGCAGATGGTATATAGTCAATAAGTGTTTTTGTTAGTGTTAGTATTATATTCAGTACAAAAGCCTAATTTTTAATTAGCCACAGGTTTACACTAACAGGAATACCCACTGCCCCAACATTTATGAATCTAGTTTTAGTCAGATATTATCCCAGTTTTGGCAGATACAATCTATTTCAAATATCTAACGACCTCTACCTAAACACTGAGCAATTTTCTGGGAGGCAGCAAAAACAATGCTAAAATTGTGAGTTGAGTCTTTTTGTACCGATTCAGACTCTGCTACTAACTAGCAGTAATTGTGGCAAGTCACTTTGACCATAGTAGATCTGGTGTCAGAGATTAAAGTGGGGAATCGGACTAAAAGGTCTCCAAGTACCTTGCTGGGCCTAGCTCTCAAACTCTTGGTTAGGCACGATTCAGACTCTGCTACTAACTAGCAGTAATTGTGGCAAGTCACTTTGACCATAGTAGATCTTGTGTCAGAGATTAAAGTGGGGAATCGGACTAAAAGGTCTCCAAGTACCTTGCTGGGCCTAGCTCTCAAACTCTTGGTTAGGCATGAATTAGTAAAAGTACTACTGATACAGCAAGCCCTGTCAACACTAGAGGGAGCCACATTCATATCATCACTGGGGTGTTCAGAAGATTTCCAGAAAAAAGCATCTTTAAATGAAAAACTGACTGAATGAATCAATTCACACACATACATACACACACACACACACACACACACACACTCTCACACACACACACACAAAAACAAACAAACAACAACAACAACAACAACAAAAAAAAAAAACCGGGGTGGGGAGGAGAGGAAGATATAACAACCACAATTTTTTTTTTTTTTTTTGAAGTTCTTACAACAAGCAAATCGACGGGACACACTTGGGTGGGAGGGGGGAGAGGGAGGAGGGAGGGAGGTTTCGGTGATGGGACATAATAATCAACTACATTGTATATCGACAAAATAAAAATAAAAAAATTAAAAAAAGCATCTTTAAATGAAAAACTGACTTTCCAAATGAGAGAAATTCCGTAAATGAGAGATCCATATTGTTCATACAGTCACCTCACAGGCTCTCTGCTGTCACCTCCCTCTTACAGGTGTCAAATCACCTCATATCTGACTTGCATTAACACACTGTTTGGGCTTTAATTTTAATTCCATGAGAACCAAGTTGGCTTTGAGCTATTCCTAAAGATTTCTTTCCCATTCAGTCTATTTTCTTTCCTAATCAAATTAACAACAATGAAAAGCAAAGTAATTAATGATATTATTGGGAAATTCCCAAAGAAGGGAGATAGAGGAGGAGAAAGATGTTATCACACTGAAGCTGTGGCCTGGGAAAAACAGTAAAGTTAACTACAACTGAATTCATTAACAGCCTGCCACTCAAACCCAAAGCTACTTTAAAAACAAGAAAACTACTCAAAAAAAAAAAAAAATAAGCCTGCCACTCAAACCCAAAGCTACTTTAAAAACAAGAAAACTACTCAAAAAAAAAAAAAATATATGTGGAAAGATAAGATAACAAGGAAAGGAAGGAATCGATATAGCTCTGCAATGCGGGTGCTGGAATGCCTGCCTGAGTGAATGACTGTCACTACTGCACTCTGTGGTAAGAAGCTTACAGCTGTTGAAGAGTGATGTCATTAATTAGAGGCAATGGGGTCACATTAGGCCTTTGACAAGAAAACAGTCAAGTGACAAGATAAGGGAATGGATGACGGGCTAGAGAAGGAAAAAGAAAAAGCATTTCTAAAGCTGAAGCTTATTCTGATGTCATTATATACATATTCTCTCCTCCACCTCTGAAAAACATCCATGGCCTTGAAACTGTTTGACCTAAACCATTATAGAACAAGAGAAATGAAGAATCAAAAACCTCCCTGTTGGTATCAACTCATGTTTCTCTTTGCCCAGAGGAACAATGACACATTAACCTAAGAGACAGGGCATAAATTACAGATATTACAGAATGCAATCTGTGGGAGAAAGATAAACACAATCCTGAAGAGCCCTTTTAATTTAAATTTCATAGATTAATTCAACACTTGGAAAAGCAAAGCCTCAGCAGTCAGAAATGGACCACCTACTTTTTAGGGAACAGGCTGTTTTGTAGTAAAAACAGATTACAAAGCAATTTTGGAGAGTGACTTTGTGGGTGAAGAGAAAAATCTACTAGAACAAGACAATTCTGTTTCACTTAAAAAATGTAAACTCAAACCTCTAAAGGTAAACACAGAGTAAAACTCACCAAGTTAAAATCAACTTACTCTTAGGATCCAAGTAGTTGGGATACTAGTTGTATCTTAAATCATCAATTTCAAGTACTCTAGAAGTGCCAAAGCCTTAGCAGAGTCAAGAGGATTTCTAATTTTAAAAAATTTTCTTTTATACAGCCCTTCCAATCAGTGAACCTCATGAGAAGCATTAGAAAACTATGCTCTATTGTCAAAAGGAGAACAACTTGTCTTCCTCCCTTATTTAGGACCCACACTAAAGGATTTCCAATTCACTCTGCTTCATACTGACCTTTAAAATGTTCCGGCCATCAAATGATTCTCTTTCCTTGAAGATATATTTGCCATCCGCTGTATACAGATTGTACCTGCCTTCAGCTGTAAATATGCCAGATAATGTTAGAAGAGAAGCTTGGGTTATTTATCTATTTGTTTTCTCTTGGATTTCTATAGGTACACAGGTAAAACTAGCAAAATTTTCATGTACTACCTGGAAAGTGGCACAATGTGGAGGGGAAAACATCAGGCTGTGAATCAAGTCTGGTCCCAGCTCTGTCATCAACTCATTCAATATACATCTATCCGTTCAACATTCCCCAAGTACTCACAACATGTACTTATTAACTCTGTAACTAGCTACATTCTTAAGTAAATTGTGTCTCCTCCATAGACCTCGATTCCTCATTTACAAAGTTAGAAGTCAAGACTAAGTGATCTCCAAAGGTTCCTTACAATCTACAAATCCAAGATGAGCTGCACACAATTTTAAATATATTAAAATGTACAAAAGTTCACAAATTAGTCTACACTGCTGACAACCATGCTTTGGGGTGATTTAAGGACTTCCCCCAAATGAAAGAGAGCCCTTTAGTTGCAACTTTCAAAGGTATCCTTACAGACATTCTACACAGGAATGTAGCAAATCTATGACCTTATATTAAACAAAGCTGTGCTCTAGTTTGAGTTAATTTAGGTTGCCTATCCCAAAAGATGTCTTTAAAGGTTGGAAAGAAAAAGAATATCACAGGAAAGGGAAACAAGAAAGAAAAAGTGAAACATCATTTCATGTCCTTTTCAAATAAAAACTTAACACACAGAGAAGAGCCCAGGGTACAGAAAATTCAAAGCATTCTCAATATTTTTAACTCTCAGAATACTTTCTGAAATATTAATCCTTCTCTGTCCACTGACAGACCTTCAAAAATATTTGTATCTATACCTTTGAGTATGTTCTTTTATTTATATAGGTATGGAGAGTACGAGGTCAGAACCGATAAAATAAGTAGAGTTCTAACTCCATGAACATAATACATTTTAGCTAGTTCACTGCAGTTACACATGGAACTATTAATCTAATGAAAAGTATTCTCTTAATGAAAGATCCCAATCCCAGGCATATTTCACAACTTAGAAATAGGTTCCCTGTTAAAAGAAAGAGGACATATAAAGTTTTGAAAGAAAACAATACCAAATAAATTTCAACTAAAAAGCAGAAATCATATCTGAAAATTGAACTGTTTTTCCTTTTTGTCTTTTTTCGTGACTGGCAACGAGATCGCAACCCTCGGTGTCGCGCCCGCACCGTGCTCCCAAGTGTCACACTCTACCGAGTGCGCCACCGGGCCGGCCCAAGATTGAACTGTTTAATGACAGGTTCAAAATCTGTAAGTAGCATTAACCATCAGGGAAAAGCAAATCGAAACCAAAATGAGCTGGCTGGTTAGCTCAGCTGGTTAAAGCGTGGTGCTGGTAACACCCAGGTCTACTGTTCAATCCCTGTAACAGCCAGCAAAAATACCAAAATAAAACGAAGAAGACCGGTTCCATCTCACTGGCTGAGTGAGGTGTGGGAGCAACACCAAGGGTTGTGATCCCGTTGCCGGTCCCGGTCCGGTACGGGATGCCGTCCCGGTCTGGTATGGGCGCGACACTGAGGGTGCGATCCGTTGCCGGACACGAAAAAAGAGACAAAAAGGAAAAAAATTAAAATTAAAATTAAAAAAAAAATAAAACGAAGAAACAAACAAAAAATCCAAAACGAGATACAACTTTACACCCACAAAGATGGCTGCCATCAAAAAGCAGACAATAACAAGTATTAGGAAAGATGTGGAGAAACTGAAATCCTCATATACTGCTGGTGGGAATGTAAAATGGTGCAGCCACTTTGGAAAACAGTCTGGTAGTTCCTCAGAAGATTAAACATAGAGTTACATGACCTAGCAATTCCACTCCTAGGTATGTACTCAGGAGAAATGAAAATGTATGTCCACACGAAAACTTACAATGTTCACAATAGCATTATTGATAACAGCCAAAATATAGAAAGAACACAAATGTCCATCAACTGATGAATGGATACATAAAGTGTGGTACATCCACACAATGGAATATTATTCAGTAATAAAAAGGAATGGATTACTGATATATGCAATAACATAGATAAACCTTGAAAGCCATGCTAAGTGAAAGACGCCAGTCACAAAAGATCACATATTGCATAATTCTATTTATATGAAATGTCCAAAATAGGCAAATCTATAGAGACAGAAGGTAGACTGGTGGTGCCTAGGACTGGAGGGGATGAGGGGCAGATGTGGGGGCTGGAAGAAAGGAGGAGTGACTGTCAGTGGGTATGAGGTTTCTTACTGGGGTGATGAAAATGCTCTAAAATTGATTGTGGTGATGGTTGCACAACTCTGACTATACTAAAAACCACTGAACTACATACAGTAAGTAGGTGAATTGTATAGCATGTGAATTATATCTCCCGTCCAAGTACTAACCAGGCCTATCCCTGCTCAGCTTCCGAGATCAGACAAAATCAGGTGCGTGCAGGATGTTATGGCCATAGACATGAATTACATCTCAATAAAGATATTGTATTTTTTAAATCTACAAGTAAGAAGGAATAACTCGACTGTGAATACAGAACATTTTCTTATATGAAGCTCCAGTGCTAACTGAATATAACATGGATCCACATAATTTAGAAGATACAGATTTCAACATAAGTGAACTCTTTCTATGTCAAGCAATTAGTTAATAATGAGACAATATAGTTTAAAGAACTCCAAACAAAGATTTAAGGAGTAAGATAAATGTAAAATGCACTCATGATAGCTATTAAATGTCTAATAAAATATTGTCTATTCCTGCCAAAACAGTAGCCACTGGCCACATGTTGTTATTTAAATTAATTAAAATTAAATATAAATAAAAGTTTATATTCACAGTCTCACAGGCCACCTTTCAAGAGCTCAAAAACAACATGTGAATAGTGGCTACCATACTGGACATCACAGATATAGAATATTTTTATCATCACCAAAAGTTCTTTTGGATGATGCTAGATACAATATGTCTTCTGAACTAATGACTTTAGAGTGTACCCTAGAGTTCTGAAACTCCGCCTTCACACAACAAAGTTAAAATGCACATCCCTTTAGGGGATCTCACTGTTTCCCAAAATTAAAATGGGTTGTCCAGAATAAAATAAATAACATAAACCGAGTTAAATGTTTCTACTGGACAAGCTACATTATAATACACAGATATTTCAAATATTCCAACCTTCTGCAACACTACTAAGTTATGGAAATGTGTTCCACTGGAATTAGAACAAGTTCAAAGTTGTGAATTCTATTAACTACCTAAACAAGAGTCTGTAGGCTTTGACTGAGTCATTTGAAGTGCTTCTGATCTCAGTATTCTCAAAGGTAAAATAGTGATTTATTTAGAAAAGTTTTTAATAAAATTCAATATACCATCACAAAACATCAACATTTTAGAACTAATAACTAACTAGATAGCTACATATTTCTTGGTCCTACAATAGCTCTAATCAAATGGGATTAACAGTAAATGATTTCCAGTTGGGATCTTTTGTATATATCTGAGAGAAATGAAAAGATGTGCCTTGACAAGAAGGGACACACAAACCATCCTAAACTAAACATATACAAATAGTCGATGGGTTCAAGTCCTGATCGAGTTCTCTTCCAACCTAGATTTTCTAAACCAAGGTCAGGGTCATAAAACAGGCAGGAAAAAAGAAAAAACAAACCATGAATATAGGATTTGGGTGCTACTACTTTAATAAATAACAGGTCTTGGAAAGAAAATTTTCATATAGCTTGAGCGTGTGACTCCTGATCAGATGCTGAATGTGCTAAAGAAGCTTTCACCCTTGGAGTAGGAGTGAGAAGAAAGGAATAATCCTTTTTGAAATAAATTATTACCCCAAATCAACGATTAAAACAAGGCCTTCTTATATGAAGGTTAAAATTCCATAGGAAAAAAAATTATTACTCTAACACAGGATTTCTCAACCTTGGTGCTATTGACATTTTGAGCTCAAAAATTTTTTGCTGTGGGGGGCCATTCTGTGCATTGCAGAGTGTTAAGCAGGATCCCTGCCTCTACCCACGAGATGACAGTAGCAACCTACCCCCAGCCTCCTACCTGTGACAACCAATAATGTCTTCAGACAATTCCAAATGTCCTCTGGGGGCAAAATTGCCCCCAGTTGAGAACCACTGGTCTAACATTTTTGTTAGCTAACCTTCTTCTTTCTTCTCTTCAAAAAAAGCCAACAAGTATTGCATGGACATACTTATACTAATAAATTATTCACTGTTTATCTAAAATTTATTTGGGCATCCTGCATTTTTATTTGCTAAATCTGGCAATCCTATGTGTGACAGAAATTAAAGATCTGGAAGCCACAGTCCCTTACTAGGTATGTCCCTGCCCACTTCTACTACGCTCATCAAAACAAGCTAATAGATCTAAAAAGAAAATATATGAGATTCTTCGACAACCCATTCTACTTAAACTTAGCGATACCATAAGGCCTTGCTGATCACAAATTGTGCTATAGTTCAACAGAGTACTTACCATTGGGGTCTTTCCTGAATAGTGTATTCATGACCGTGGCATGAAGTTTCACACTATTCCACTCTTTCACTATTAGTCCAGATGCTTGAAAATGTTCCAGCACTCGATCAACTAACTCCTGCAGCCTGGAGGGATTAAATAAAGCAGCACAGGAATCTTAGTAAACTCCTGAACCCCTGATTACTAATTCAACAATGTTTATGGAACATGTGCTCTGTGCCAATCATTGTACAAAGCCCTGCATCAGAAGAGGAAGAAAAAGAGGCTATAGCCCCTACCACCATGGAGCTCTCTATCTTGTCGAGAAGACAGATGTGGAAACAAATAATTGCAGTACATTATGGTGAGCGTTAAGGGAGTGATCATCTCTACATGGAGAGGCCAAGTTTCCACAGGAGATTTAAACATGGACTTGAAGGATCACTGAAGATTCACAGATAAAACCAGGTACTTCAACCAGAAGAAATGGCACATGCAGAGATGTCAAGGCATGGAAGATCACAGCACATTTGGAAAACTGCCAATTATTTAATACAGCTTTAACAGAGAGTGAGAGAAGAGGGACAGTAGAGATGAGCTGGATAAACGAGGGTACTTTTAAAAGTTCATGGAAAATTCTGTATTACCTTTTAATTCCATTTTTCCATGAAGTTTTTGAAGTACTCTTGTGTAACTAGTGGTCAGACATGACATGGGAAGCCACAGAAAGACTTTTAAAAGGGAATGATGTGGTCTGAAGTCCATTTTTGAAAGCTGACTCTGTGGCAGAGTGGAAAGTGCTTTAGAAGAGGCAGAGACCAGCAGTACTGAGGTCAGCTAGGCTGCTACTTTAACAGTCAACACAACAACAAATGCAGTGTTAGGCACTGTTCTAAGCACTTTATACCTGCTAAATCATTTAATCCTCACAACAAATTCTTATCCCTATTTTACCAATGAGGAAACAAAGGCACAGAGAAGTTATGAAACTTGACCAAAGTCATGTAACTAATAAGTGGTGATACAAAATTAGAACACACGCAGTCTGGCTTCAGAGTCCATGCTTTTAAGGATTGCACCAGAAAGGGGAAAATGATGAAGATCTAAACTATGGCAGGGGCAGTGAGAACTGAGACATGAACTTAAAAGAGCTATGAGAGAGTGAAGCTGGTGCCCATTTCAGATATGGCACTGGTAAGGGAGAGAAAGAAGTTGGGAATGACTCCCAAAAGTTGCCTTAAATGACCAAGTGGGTCATTAATCAAGGGGGGGAGCTGTGGAAAATAAAATGCTTATTGTGTTATTTTGGAGAGAGGGTAAGTATTCTGTATGATTTTGCATATGTGGCATGGAATATCAAGTAGGACAAGTCCAGGAAAAGAGATGGAAATACAAGCCTGCAGCTCAAGAGAGAAATCTAGGCAAAAGATACAGATTTGGGAGTTATCACTGCAAAAACGGTAGTTAAAAACATGGCATAGATGCAGTCATGGAGTTGACTGAGGTTCAGAGTAAGCCATGATGAGCCCAAAGGACAGAGCCCTGTGGGAGGTGTCCACGTAAGGAGCAGAGAAGGGGCCGAGTCCGTGGCACACTCGGGAGAGAGCGGCGCTGGGAGCCCAGCAGCGCTCCCGCTGCGGGTTCAGATCCTATATAAGGATGGCCAGTGCGCTCACTGGCTGAGTGCGGTGCGGCCGGTCTCAAAAAAAAAAGGACAAAAAAAAGGAGCAGAGAAGGAACCAGCAAAGGCAACTGATAAGGATGAGGAGATATGAAAAAGACTTCAGAGAGGCTGAAAAGAGAATTTCAACGGGAAAAAAGGAATAAACAGTACAACACTACAGAAAAGTAAAGTAAGACATAACAGAACCTATGGGATAACAGTGAAAGCAGTTCTAAAAGGGAAGTTTATAGCAATAAATGCCTACATTAAAAAAGAAGAAAGACTCCAAATAAACAACCTAACATTATACTTCTAGGTCCTTTTCAAGGACCTAGAAAAACAATAAAGAACCAAATCCAAAATCAGTACAAAGAAATAAAGATCAGAGTAGAAATAAATGAATTAGAGATTTAAAAAAACAATGACAAAGACCTGGTTTTTGAAAAGATAAAATTGATAAACCTTTAGCTAGACTAATGAAGAAAAAAAGAGAAGACTCAAACAAATAAAATCGGAAATGAAAAAGGAGACATTACAACTGACACCACAGAAATACAAAGGATCATAAGAGACTACTACGAACAACTATATGCAAACAAACTAGACAGCCTAGAAGAAACGGATAAATTCCTGGACACATACAACTTACCAAAGTTGAATCATGAAGAACTAGAAAACCTAAACACACCAATAACAATGAGATTAAAGCAGTAATAAAAAGTCTTCCAACGGGCCGGCCCCATGGCGCACTGCTACAGTGCGCCGCTTGGGAGCGTGGCGGCGCTCCCGCCGAGGGTTCGGATCCCACATGCAGACCGGCTGCTCACTGGCTGAGCGAGGGGCGGGGGCAACACCGATGGGTGGGATCTCGGGCCGGTAC